CTACCTCCTGCTATCTCTTGCCTGGATTATTGCAATAATAATGGTCTCCCTGGTGGAACCTACGATCTCTACACTCTATTGTCTCAAAGCAGTCGGAATAATGTAAATCAAATCAGGCTGCTCCTCTTCGCCAGACTCCCCCGTGGGGTCCCATCTCTCTCAGTAAAATTCCGTTCTGACCATGGCCTGTCAGACCACATGGTGTGCATCTACCATCTCACCATCTTCGCATCTTACTTCCTACCTCTGCTCCTCACTCGTGTTGCTCGAGCCACACTTCCTTCAAAATGTTCCTGGAATATAACAATCCCACCCCCACCTCTGGGCCTTTCTACCTGCTGTTCCCTTTGCTTGGAACATTATTCCTTCAAAATTCATAAGACCCACTTCCTTACTGCTTCCAGGTCTCTGCCCAAGTGTCCATTTTATGAAAAAGTCCTCCCTGACCAACCTGTCGGCATTACTCCCTGTGCTTGTCCTGAATTATAGGAAAAATTGATTCCTACTCTTATTAGTTTGTTGGGTTAGCCTGGACCATCATTAGATTACACAGAAAGGTGACCAGAGGTACCTGGAAAGGAGCATGTCTTTGAAAGTATCATCTCCACCCCTCCCCCCAATCCAGGGATCCCTTCTAAACAAAAGACCGTTCCCCTTTAAACCTAGAAAGGAATTGAGGGGTTAAAGCAGAACAAGGCAACTTTTCTTTCCCCTTCCCTCCCAAACATAAACTCAGTCATACCTGCCTACCTGTCCCATGGGACATTAGTAACAGAATGAGAAGTGTTCAGTTGGACCCTCTGATTTCTTCTACCACAGCCCCTTACAGCCTCTTCCTCCCAGCTCACCTTCCTTTCCCAACCCCACCCCAAAGGGATGCCTGGCTCTGGCAAAAGAGAAATAAAGTATGAGAGAGAATTGCGGGGCCGGCGTGGCTCAGTGGTTGAACATCGACCTATGAATCAGGTCATGGTTCGATTCCCAGTCAGGGCACGTGCCCGGGTTGTGAGCTCGATCCCCAGTGTGGGATGTGCAGGAGGCAATCAATCAATGATTCTATCTCATCATTGGTGTTTCTGTCTCTCACTCCCTCTCCCTTCCTCTCTGAAATCAATAAAAATACATTTTAAAAAAAGAAAAAAAGTAGCCAGAGAACTGCTTTTCCCCACTTAGTAAATTGGTGTTTGTTTTTAACTTTACAATAGTCCTGCATGTGGAAAGGGCACTGCTTTTTGAGAACTCAGTGTATGGGGGAAGAGGACATCCAATCAGATATACAAAGCGGACCCGGATCCTCCCTGTTTTCTCATCCGTATCTCTGTTCTCCCCCTCCAGCCATATCCTGGCTCAGGGCCTCGATCCTGCCTGGAATGACCTCTGCACCCATCCAAATAGTCTCTATTTTAAAGGTCCAGCTCCAGACCGGGATCCCTCCACATCCTTGTCCACACCATCCCTGACCCTTGCCACCTAAGGACTATTTTCCAAAACTCATCAGAGATTATTGGGAGCAGCCTGGTTCTGGGTAAGTTGAGGTGGGAGCTCTGGCATAGCATACTTGACACAGAGTTCTTTTAGGATGGTTCTCAGCCTTGGCTGTATGCTGGAGCATCCGGGAGCTTTGAGATATTGTTGCCTGGGTCTCATCCCAGATGCTGATTGAATGGACCTGTGGGTGTGGCCTGGGCAGGATTTTCGTGAACATCCATCCCCAGGTGGTTCCACTGTGTACCAGATTGAGAACCTTCAGCTTTTTAGCAAGAACTCTCTCTTGCATTCTCCTGGTATTTTGCATTATTTTGGGTTCTCAATTTGTTTATCAGATAAAGAAAAAGGAACCTGCCAATGCTTGTCAGAGACTTGCTGAAGCTTCAAGCCCAAAGCCCACAGACATTGTTTTTTATTTGTAGGGTCATTGAGATTCCCTTTCTCAAAGTGAGCCTTAGACGAGTAGACTGTCAGCATCCCCTGGAGCTTGTTAGAAATGCAGAAACTCGTCTAAACTGCGAAACTTGCAGCACAAATGGCTTCGCCCACCTCCTACACTAGACTTCACAAAGCAGCCCAAGGCTGTTTCCCAGCCCTCCCCCATCCCTGGCCTGGGAAAGCTCAAGGCTGGCAAAAGAACTTGGCTTGTTCAAGCCAAACACCTGACTGTAGGTCTCTGACCTCCCTTTTCTTAAGAGCATTCATTTAAAATACTTACAATTGTGAATCCTCTGTCTCTGAGATGTGTCAGTCTGTATCGCCTGAAACCCAGGCATGTCTTTCTCAAGGACTGGGAGCCATCCCTTTGAAATGCAATCATCAGAACAGATAGGGCCCATCCCCGTCTCTGTGGGAGGGTAGAGGCCTAGGGTGACGGCCAGTTAGCAGACACAGATGGCCTGATCACATGGAGCAACCCCCAGCCGCTTTCTGTGATTTCCCACTTCCCCGACTGTGTGAGCCCCTGCGTGTCTCCTCCCCACGCCTTCGTTCTCCCTTAAAACTCCATCACCTCTGCGCAGAGCCCAGCTGCGCTATCTTATAGAGGCCTCTCCTTTACCGCTCCCGTTACTGAAGAAAACCTGCCTTCACTGCCTTGAACCAGGGGCTGGCTTTTTCTTACCGTCTCCATGTTAACAAGCCCCTTAGGTGATCTGCATGTACAGCAAAGTCTGAGCAGCACTGTCTCACAGTACGTATCATCCCCTCAATGACTTTAACCAATAGCCCCGCTTGGTAGACAGGAATGATGATGCTCCTTTTACCAGTGAGAGAGCTGAGGGCCAGAGCTTTGCTCAAAGTCCCACAGTTAAACTAGAACGTGAGCCCATCTCACAACTCGATGTGCTGCTCTTTGCACAACGCCACACCAGTCAGAGAAGGAAGACCCACTGCTCGAGGTTGCAGGAGTAAAACAGCTGGCGAGGGAGATCATAACAAGGTTTTCCTTATGCATCCATTGCGGCAACGTCCTCACAGGGTCGACCCTTCTTTAGCTGCAAGAGAGCCATTTCAGAATCAAGGGTCTCCCAGGCACCACAGAATTCTCATCTGAGTTATCCTTTCAGTAGTTGGAGTCCCAGGGGCCCCAGCTCCTGGGGGATGAGTCACCGTATGACCCAGGTGAAGTCCTGAAGAGCGTGCCCTGGAGGCTCAGGAGCCCAGCCCCTCTCAGGCCTGTGTACACACACGCCGCTGCCGCCACATGAAGTCAGACCAGTCACCGCCTGAGCCCTGAACCAGCCACCTCACCCTCACACATGCGGAAATGCTGATTTTTCACATCCACTGTCTTTGGCACAGACGATGTAAATTCAGCCATTGTTATGGTAAATCTTTTTATTGTTGGCTTCATCAAAAAAACTTGTATTACAGACAATTTCTGCTGCATAATTTTAGTAAAGCCAGAGATGATCATTTCTTCTAGAAAAACAAACTTCTGCGGTTAGAAAGGAAGACAAAAAACAGATTTCATTTTATGATCTACCTTTATCAAGCCATCCAGAGCACATCAGTTCCTTTATGTTATTACTTTAATGTTATTTAACAAGTCATTATAGAAAACACACAAGCCAAAAGCCTTCTATTCTTAATCTTCTAGCCAATCACCAAATTTCTCTAGATTTTTAAAGACATGAAAGTAAACTAATTTCAAATAACAGCACCTCAAACACCATATACGTTTGTAATGCGGTGCTCCAGCCAATTTTAAGCCTTGTGTTTTCCAGGTTTTAGCTGAAATACCCCTCACTCACGTCTTAGGTTTTTATCAGTGTTATTGGGGGCTATTTTGTCTTACTAAAAGAGCACAAGGTTAAACCAATGAATGATCTAGTCTAAGAAGATGGCCTAAATGACACCAGTGGAAACCGGGCATCCTGGGGACACAGGTGAGCCCCTAGTTATCCCTGAGCTGAAGTCTGTGGTTTGATCTTCTTAGCAGCTTCCAGAACAGACACTAGGTTTACTTTATCTCCAAATTCTTTTTCTCGGTGCTCGAGAAGAATGCCCTGGAAGGAAAAGAGAGGGAACATCAGTCCTCATTCTGAGTCGTTCATTCATGAGACTACGCCGTGCGGCAGCTGTCTGTTAAGCCCTGTGCTCGGGCAGCAGGGGACAGAGGCCGAATCAGGCTGGCTCTTCCCCCTGAGGATTCAGTCCTCGGGGGGGCGGGTCAGGGGACAGTCAGGTCACAATGTCTGGACTGTACCGCAGCCTCCGGGAGTGGGAAGTCATGGGTGATCACATCTCATCGAGCGATCAGGGAAGACTTCCCAGGTAAAGCAGGAGAGTCATCAGGATGTCCACAGGGAGAGGTGAGGTAAAAGAACGTGCCAGGCCAAGAGAACGGAAAGAGCCCGAAAGTATGGGAGCGGAGCTCAGAGGTCAGCCCCGGCAGGTGCTGAATGACCATCTGAAAAGAGGCCCTCTCTTCATGTAAGTTTTCCTAAGAAACGGGCCCTCCCTTCCGATGCTGGGATGGAAAATGCACTAAGACACAGGGTACCGCACAGTTCCCCGAAGTGGTAAGAAAGATAAAATAATGTGTTTGGGGTCAGAATCAAGGCATCCTTGTTAAGCGTTCTTTGACCCATGACATGACATCTGGGAACTCATTTTAAACTTAAAAAGTAAACAGCTGTAAACGTGTTCGTTGTGCCGTTGTTTATAAAGCCCCCTCCAAGCATGTCAAACTCGCAAGGGGAAAGTCCCGGCGCACAGGTGACCCAGGGAAGCTGACCAGGAAACTATCTACTTGCCAGCAAAGCAGGATGAGACACTGCAGTGCTGCGGATTGGATAGAGCGCCGGCCTGCGGACTCAAAGGTCCCAGGTTCGATTCCGGTCAAGGGCATGTACCTGGGTTTCTGAAAACAACAAAACAAAAGGCCGCTCAGCTCCGCTCTGTCCCAGCAGGTTCTCGGTGGAGGCTGAGCTCTCTATCTCTCTCCCTTCCTCTCTGTAAAAAATCAATAAAATATATTAAAAAATAAAAAATAAAAAAAATAAAGTAATTATGCTTTAAAGATGATTACAAAGGAAACCCCACTGAGGCACCTGGCACTGAGGGACTGCAGAGCTCTGCACCGAGGGAACCTGGAGGCCAGTCCCGAGGCTCGGCCAGCGTCAGCTTCCAGCCCCTCAGCTTCCAGCCCCTCAGCTTCCAGCAGGAAGGAAGGAGGCGGGAGCTCCAGGGAGCACCAACAAAGCCAAACACCACGCCTAGCAACTCCAGGGGCACGCCAGCCAGGAATGGGGAGCCCGTGAGCACCCCATGAGTCACCGCCAGGCAAGAGAAGGCTGGCAGGTGAGCCAAGCCCTGCCTCGGGGCCAAGGGAAGGAGGGAGGGAGGGGAAGGAATGCCAGAGGGCCAGAGTGGGCAGAGGCTGAGCCATCCTCTGAGGAAGTGGGCAGCCCAAGTGTAAGGGCATCTGGAAGGGCCTTTGGGAAGCACTGCTAAAGAGAGGCTGCAGTGAGGAAAGGGCAGGTGCGGGGGCAGGACAGACCGGAGTCCCGAGTCTCATTTCCACTGCACCCCTTACTAGCTGCACGCTGCTGCCTGGGCTCATGTCTCTGGGCCCATTTCCTGACACGTGGGTGGGAATAGCACACCTAACGTCCCAGCCTGGCTGTGAAGACATGAGAGCCGAGCTCCGGGAAGGAGTCAGTCCCTCTCTGGTAGTCATGTCACCACGACATTCCGGTATTGGCAGCAAGTCAGCAAATAGGTTTATGTTAAATCGGACACCAACTCACCAGATTCTAATTCAGACCAGCAACAGCAGTTACCAAGCTTTAAAGGAGGGATTAGAAATGGAAATATTTCTATTCCCATTTGCTTTTATTCCTCCCAAATTAGGAAAAGTACTGTGAATTATCAGCGTTAGCTGTGAGGTCCACCAAGGCAGATGAGACCACGAGTTAATGCCATGCTAAGGGTGTCGGAGACCAGGCTGAAGTCAAGCCCCGTCTCCAGGTTCTGCCAGGCCTTCGAGCCTGCACCCATGTTATGCCCTCCCTGCTCTGTGTCCTCCTGGCCGCTGCGGGCACTGCCTTCTGGTGCAGGGGAACCACCATGGCTCGAGGCTGCCGAAGGTCTGACATGGAGCACTCACCCAACTGCCTCCCCCCAGGGCCCACAGAGACCTCATCTCCCCACACACAACCCTGGGGTCCCCGAGCTACTCTGGATCCTCACAGCCAGGGCCTGAGAAACCTGTGCGGTGAGCATATTACCCACCAGGGGCGGCTCCGCCCCCAGGACCCCACAGCGGGAAGCGGTGTCTTCCTACATCTCCTTGCTACTTCCCCTCATCAGGTCTGTTTGAATCCTTTCTCCTTCCCTTTTCTCCACTGTCCACCCTTGTGGACCTGGGAATACCACAAAGAAGTGCATTGTCGACAGGAAAACCTATGCTTTTGCTCAGGCACAGAAAGCAGAACTCAGCCTCACAACGCCTGGCTCAGGCCCCGGTGGCCACTCCCTTGCCTGCGAACTGTGAGGCGTGAGATCTATGATAAATGGCAATTCCTCTCCCTTCCCCTTCCCCTTCCTCATGGCCCGGCTTTCTGGGAGGCTGAGTAGGGAAAGTTGCCCCCATCAGGGCCTCAGGCCCACAGACACCGACACCTACAGACCCAGACATTACCTGCTTTCCTGATCCCACCACAAAAACGCCCCCGAGGATGAAGCCTTCGCCTTCCAGGTTTCCAGAGAAGCCTCCGCTCCGGGCCCGGAAGAAGTTGCTCCAGACGCCCAGCCGGAGGAACCCCATGAACATCATCTTCCGCCTCTGGGGGCCGTAGAACTTCTTCTGTAACAGCGAAAACAGACCCTCTGAGTACCTGGCTGCCCACCTTCCCCAGGGGGCACAGGCTCCCAGCAGGGTGCTGGTTTTCAGACTCAAAGGCTGCTGGTTTGTGTCCCCCAACACACACACACACACACACACACACACACACACACACCCCTCCCCCAGGAGCACTGGCTGCGAGGGCCTGGCCCACAGTGTTCAGCCCTGACTCTGACCTCCTGCTAGAGACTACAGGGCTCCTGGGCCTGATGGGTGACTCAGACCCACATTCGTAGAGGGGAGGACAGAGGGAAAACAAATATGACTGCAATGAATTAAGGGATAGGGGCTTGTGCTGGGCCCCCACCTGCGGGTGGGGAGAACCAGTGGAGTTTCAGCCACTTCCTAGGCAACCTTTCCCAAGGGACAATTCAGGAAGCGCTCAATTAACACGTGGGAGGACAGCTTTTCAGTGTCTGCTCAGGCTCCGCTCAGAGGCTGGGAAGGCCCTGCAAGTTCAGGGCAGCTGACAGGGAGCCCAGCCCAGCCTGCAGCTCCAGGCCACACACCCTCCGGTACCAAGCTCCCCACACCTAGCACAGTCCCCTGCAGTCCGTCACAGGTTCACGGACACACCTTTTCATCGAGGAAGATTTCTCCTTTGAAGTAAGGCTGGAAGTCCTTCACTTCGGTCCTGACCTGCTCCTTCACGACGGCGTAGAGAGGCACGCCCAGCTCATCCAACTTGGGCTTCAGGGAGGACAGGTCTGCAGCCTCCTGCAGAAAAGAGCAAAGGTCAGGGCTCTGTGGCCAACCAACACCCACTTCCCTCCAGCCCAGAGCACGGCTGGCCCTGAATGCGGAAGAACAAAGGTGACAGAATGCCAGAAACAATTAAGGCCTGTGCAGCCCAGCACAACACTGTCCCATGGGCAAGAGGCCTCAGCACAGGCTTGTCTTCTGCACGTGGGGAGGACGGGTCAGGCTCCTGTTATGGGTGTCCTAACCGCTGCCCAGGGAGCATCCAAAAACTAAGAGATTGCAGCCAAACATGGTCATTTACTACGATGCTTCTCTCCTAACTCATCTTCTAGCCCCTCCCCTGCACTAGACCAAAATAGCACAAGGGTCTATTGGACCAAAAAGCAGGCCTGGGGATAGCTGCCTCCACACTCTGCTCAACTGGCTTCCCCTCACGGCAATAACCTGCCTCCTTTCTGCAACTCAGCCCCTACCCTCCAGGAAGGGAGCCCTGTTCTAAAACCCCCCCCCCCTCCCCGCCCGCCGGCCTGGGGTGAAGGCCTGATTCTCTGGGCAGATCCCACCCTTCCTGCTGGGCGACTCCCATACTGAGTCTGTGTGTTACCACTAAGCTGAGCACTGGCTCTTCATTCCCAGGGTGCCTCGTGGCTAGAAATTGCGTCTCCATTTCCTGTACCCCTCAGTGCCTAGCGCATGGCGGGGGGCACAGAAGGCACTAGGTACCAGGTGGGAAGAGCCGAAGGCGAAGGTGGACACAGAGAACGCAGCTGAGCTGAGGAGCACAGCGTCCTGGACTCCCAGGAACCGCACCTGGGTGACTAAGAACTGCCTGTGTCACAGGAAGGCTTTGAAGCTAAGAACAAATTCCTTTTTCACATTTGGTGTCAGAATGAAAGAAATAGCATGAAACCCTCCCAAATGCAGCTCACTCGCCTCCCATACAAACACACTGGTGTACAGTGGCACTATGTTTAATTTTTCATTTATTTTCTAGAACAACAACAACAAAAGGACAGCCAACGAAGCAGAATTCATTACAGTGCTTTAGAGGCTTGGTGATGGCAAGCTTTGCCCCGGAGCAGAGAGGACTGCAGGCCTGATGTGTGTGACATGAGAAGTTTCACTCACTTTTCCTGGGCTCTCTACTCTGGGTGTGTCCCTGTGCAAAGCTATGAATGGACAGTCACGGATCTCCTCCCCAGGCCACTCAAAAGAGCTCAGACTGCCATCGGACCATCCTTTTAGAAACACAAGTTCCCACAAAATGCTCTGCTGGGGCAGAGACTAGTGCCCAGGAAGCAGGCTGCAGCCTTTGGGTTTAACCTGCGTGAGAAATCAAGTCACAGCAGGCCTCGTGCTGGTGTTTGGAGGTCTCACAGATTTGGAATCAAAGCTCTGAGTGTGAACCATGGGAGGACCTCTGAAGAGGGCCCTATCCTGATCCCAGGAGCCTGTGAATATGTGTTGTTACAAGCCAAGGGGGAAGTAAGGCAGCCAGTGAAATCTGGGCTGCCCATCAGCTGACCTTAAAGGAGACTATCCTGCATTACCCAAGTGGTTCCCAGGTGGAATCACAGGGTCCTTAAATGTGGACGAGGAAAGCAGGAGAGTCTGTGTCACCATCACGCGTGTGAGAAAGACTCGCCCGGCCACTGCTGGCATTAAAAATGGAGGGAGGGGCCACGAGCCAGGGCTGCGGTGGCTTCTCAGAGCTATTGGAGGGCGGAAACTGTTTCCCTCCTACACCCTCCAGAAGAAGCACAGACCCGCTGAAACCTGGACTGTAGCTCTATGGGGCCCATCTCGGAATTCTGACCTCTAGAACTGTGAGATAATAAATCTGTAATGTTTAAAGCCTGAGTTTGTGATAATTTGTGAAAGCAGCAATAGGAAGCTAGCATGCCTCCCCTCAGCCGTGTGACATTGCCACAGCCCCTGTACCTCAATTTCCTCCTCTACAAAACGAGAACAATAACAACAAGCTGTATTTTCCAGGGATGTGGTGGGGCACGAATGGAGTATCAGGCGTGGCAGCGCCCTGAATGCAGGTGCAGCAGAGCACACCCTGTCCCGCCGTAAGCAGCTTCTTTGCCAGCCCGACCACACAAGCAGGGGACAGATGGGCCAGGCGGAGGAACGCCTCAGGGTCAGGGAGCACAGCCAGAGGAGGAGGAGGACAGCGTGGACGCGGCCACGCCATCGAGAAGCAAAGCTGTCTCAAGAGCAGGAGCGCTGTCACTCCCACTCTCCCCAGGCAGGGCCCGGATCTCAGACCTGGGTCTTCTGCCACTGACTGACTTGTGTGACCAAACTAGTCCAGCCCTGGGTTTACCTGTCTGTAAAGCGACAAGGCTGGGCCCTGCCCTCCTCTGACAAGCTTCCTCACGTACTGAGCAGAGGACGATGGCTTCCCTTTGAGGGGCCAACCTGGAGACCGCCCAGTCAGTGACCCCAACTTTCACCAAACTCTCATGCCAGCTCTACCCACACTATCGGCATGACTGAAACCCCCGAGCTCCAGATCCACAGCTGAGAGCACAGTGAGGCAACGGAGCTGCCACATGCAAACGTGTGGGCCTCAGCCCTCCACCGGGACTCCAGGGAGACAGGCAGGTCCGTTCCAAAAGTGCGACCCTGGGCTCCCCCGTGTGTGCAGCCGCACCACAGGTGAGGGCTGGCATGCCTGTGCCAGCAACAGTCCAGGCACCTCCTTTCAATGAGCAAATCCCGGTGCTGAGCCCCAGGAACTGGGAATTGGGCCTGGTCCCCGTCCTGATGCAATAGGAAGGTAGTCCAGGACTCAGACAGTGCAAGAGTGATAGGGCCTGGGAGTCACAAAGGACAGTCAAGTGTGCCGCTAACCCCAGGATATGGTGAGTGGTTCAATGAGCAGAAACAGAGAGTAAGTCCAAAGAAATCCTAGAGCAAATAACAAAAGAAGGACCAGTGTTGATCAAAGGCCAAAGTGGGCCTGCAGGTCCCGGGTCCCGGCTGGAGTGCCCTGGCCCCACCCTCTGGGGTCCTCTTCTCTGAACAGATCTCCAAATGCACTCACCTCTCGACAGAGGAAGCAGCCTGGCCTCCGCACAGCCATGATGACAGCGCCCTTCTCCTCCCAGAGCTCCTTTGCTTTGAAAGTCCTTGGTTCTGGGGAAAAGAAAAGAGTCCAGCATCCTCTCTGCCCAGCCCCGCCCACCCGCCCTACAGCTCAGCTGTTCGTCAGTGGTACCAGGCCTAGCAGAGGGCCTGGACCTGCATTTCACACATGGGAAAGCAAACAGGAAGCACAGATGGGGAATAGTCATCCTCAGAGGAAAATTCATATAGTGTAAGGATCCTACTATATACTCCAAACACCCCTCCTCCGTAAAAAAAATTATTTGCAAACTTGAACATCCCAAACTGAAACATTTCTGGAAAAGTGGCAGCTAAGCAAATCCCAACTCTTAAAAAAGTATTCAAAGGGATTAAGTCAACAGAAATTTTGCATATTTTTACCCCACAATATTATCCATAGGGAGGGTAGAAGACGCCTAACGAGGAACCCCTTGGGGGTAGTTGGGGTAGTAGAGTAGTGTAGCTCAAGCCGGGCTCCAGGGCCAGAGCGAGTCTGCATCTAGCCATGGGACTTTGACCAGCTGGGTCTCCCCCTAAACCCCCGTTTCCTTGTCATAAAAGCAGATGTCCAGCACGGGGCTGCAGGGAGTATAAACAGATGGCTATGTAAGTGCTCTCGCCACAGTATCTAATAATAGTTACTGAGGGGTCAATCAGTGTGAACCCTTACTATTTTAACATTCCTTAGAGAAATCCATGTCCCTGTGGGATGTTGTATAAAAAAAGAGAGGAGGATGAGACTGGGAATCCCTGGGATGAACAAAGCAGGACTCCCTGATCCCTTAGAAAGACCACCTACATCATAAATCGCAGTCACAGTTCCTGCGCTCCTCTGACAAGCTTCCTCACGTACTGAGCAGAGGACAATGGCTTCCCTTTGAGGGGCCAACCTGGAGACCGCCCAGTCAGTGACTCCAACTTTCACCAAACTCTCATGCCAGCTCTACCCACACTATCGGCATGACTGAAACCCCCGAGCTCCAGATCCACAGCTGAGAGCACAGTGAGGCAACGGAGCTGCCACATGCAAACGTGTGGGCCTCAGCCCTCCACCGGGACTCCAGGGAGACAGGCAGGTCCGTTCCAAAAGTGCGACCCTGGGCTCCCCCGTGTGTGCAGCCGCACCACAGGTGAGGGCTGGCATGCCTGTGCCAGCAACAGTCCAGGCACCTCCTTTCAATGAGCAAATCCTGGTGCTGAGCCCCAGGAACTTGGACTGGATACAGTGTTTCTCAGATGTATTTGGCTGGGAGCTCCTATTTTGTGAAGATCCTGGAGCCCAGAGTCCTGAGCACACACTGGGGAAGAGCTGGTTTAGTAACTGGTGCTATAACATCACTAAATATTACAGAGCAAGTATCAGTATAGTTAGAGAGACAGCAATAGAAAGTGAATAATCAGTTTGGTAAGAAAACCCTGAACTGTAAAATACCATGTACACCCAGATCACAAATATATAGTAATATGTAAGTAAACATGCAAAAAACGTGCAGAACTAAAAACAAGTATCATTAAGGTAATGGAGTTAGCAGCCATTTAAAAAGTTATTAAATGTTCCCTAACGTTATTATATTATTTTTTCAATAAAAAGAAGTTATTTTACACAGAAAAAATAAGCCTGCATGCCAGTGCCTTGGAAAAGTACTGAGGGCAGAGGGGTCACTGCTTACCCTTCTCCAGAGTTTTCAGGTCTATTTCCTCCAGATACTTCAGGGTTGCTTGCTGGGGCTTGGACAGAAATATGTCTGTGTTGGCCAGGAGCAGTGCCAGGGCAGCAGCCCCCAGGGCCCCCGCGCCGATCGACCACATCCCGGAGAGGAAGCTTGGATCCAGGAGGAAAGACATTCTGGAGATTGAGAAGAAGGAAGATGACGTTCATGCTCTCACAAGACAGCAGGAATGTGATCTGGCAAAGTGCAGGGCTCAGCCGGGCAGCCACCAGGTGGCCAGAGGCAAGGGGCAGGGGAGCCGCGGAAGCAGACAGGGGACTGAGCACCTGCCACCCCAAGAGCTGGATGCAACCGACACATGGAGGTTCCTGCCCGAGGAGCTCACCAGTGAGTCAGGAGCGATGAGAGAAATGGCAGCCCCCTCAGATGCTCCTCTTGTGTTCCCTCACCCAGGCCCAGGCCTCCCAGCTCTGGGCTGCTCATCTGTGCTGCCTCCCCCCCCCGTCAATGCCTGCCTTTCCTTCACTGTCCAGGAGTCTGGGCTATCATCTCCCATGGAGGGCAGTCTTCTCTTCAGTGATCAGGAGACTTACCACATCCCACGGATCACACTGCCCCAGTACCCTATCCTTCTTCCTCTTTGAGAACCCCTCAGAAATAGAGACCGTATCCTACTCATCAGCCCGACAGTTCCCAGCAGGGCCTCCCTTGTGGTAGGCAGGCAATCTCGGTGCATTTCTCCCATCTGAGAATAGCTTTACTTTTTACTCATTATACAAATAAAACAGGCTCATGATGAAGACAAAAAAGGAAAAAAAGAAGCAATCACAAAACCATAGTCGACCAGAACGCAGAGATCTTCAGAGACCCCCATCTTTTCACTGACAGTTTAATAGAGATGACCACCATTAGACACCAGTATCTAATCTGACAGTTTTTCCCTAGAACAGAACTGCACAGACGCCTGGCGAATGAATGGGGGCAGAGCCTGAGAGCGGGCACGTGTAAGAAGAGCACAGCGCTGGGGTCTGCTGCGGAGGCCTGGGCAAAAGCTGTCTGCACCGGGCAGGGGTTTGCCACCGAACGGGAGCTCCAGCGGGTCCTGCAGAACCGTCCAGCCTGGTTCTGAGCTCGCGCACCAGTGCCTCCCTAAGGCTCCTCCAGGGGGGAAGCCTTGTGCCTAGGGGTGTGAGCTCGTAGATGCAGCCCACCCGAAAGAGCAGCAGGTATCCACCCAGCCTTCCTTCAAATGACAACCACATAACAGAATCTATCTTTCCATATGGCCCTCTCGCCATCCTAAGGATCAGACTTACACTGGAGCCTTCCTCCCTGAATACCAGCATAGCTCATTGTGCTGAGATCAGCAGGTATAGACTGTGTGTGTGTGTGTGTGTGTGTGTGTGTGTGTGTGTAAGGCCCTCCTTACCTGAGACTTAGCTCTCCCTGCTGGATTTGGCTGGGGAGAGGATTTCTCCAAAGGATTAAGCAAATGCCCAGAACTCTGCATACCACTGCCAAGGGAGGGGCTGCGAGGGACCCACCAGGGCCAGGAGGTGGGGCTGGGAGTAACTTGGTAGTGCTGACTTGGGGAAAAGAAAGGTAGGTCAGACTAGAGTTTAGGCCAGCCTGGGAAGCTCAGATTTGAGTTAAGAAATAAAAAGGAACTTCTAGGTGGGGGTGGGAATGACCAAATGAAAGCAGCATTTAAGAAAGAAGAATTTGGCATCCGGTATATTAGGGGAGAGGGGGAAGGGGGGAGGCTGGTGTGTGTGTGTTGGGGAAAGGGACACCGCTATGGTATCTCCGATGCAGGGACTCAGCTGGGAGAGAAGTGTCTTATAACCTCAGTACTCAACATGTGGTCTCCTGGGTCAGCACTGGCAGCGTGGGGGACGCAGAATCTGCAGCCGGCCTCAGAACGAAGGAATCACACACTGCATTGTAATCAGATCGGGCAATTCACATGCACACAGAGTCTCAGAAGCATTGTCTTGGAGCAAAGCAGCCGGGATCTTGTGCTTGGCTGGCCACGAGGGCAGGCTGTTCCCTCAGCTCACTGTGGGA